CCCCCCCCGCGCCAGTTCTGTCGCTCTCTCTGGGGAAGGGCGCCCCCAGAGCAAGCCGGGTCCTTCCCGCCTGAAAATTGGTTGCCCCCTAAGAACAGGCGGGGTGGGGGGGATTTGCCAATCAAGACGCCTCTGCTTCCAAGCATCCTTTTGGAAAAACATCACGCCGAGATTTTCGTGGCGTTTTGCTTCTCGCAAACCCTCCTGGTGGGGGAGCAGGTATCGGCCTTCTGTATTTTTAGTATTTGGATGTGGTATTTGTAAAAACATTGGCGTTTTCTGCTTCTTGTAAGAAATTTTGGCTGTAATTCTTTGTTCTCGTGGCAATTTCTATTACTTTCACTTTGTTTCTGCTTTCACTGTAACTTAATGTAACTGCTAAATGCAACTGCCTCGGGCCTCTCCTGGACGCTGCCCTTTGTCCACTTTGCCCGACCTCAGGCTGCCCACCGAAGTGGTTTGGCGCTACACGGAACAGGGTGAGCGTGTGCGAGTCTCCGTCCGGACGGGCAGAATCATCCCCAAACCCATCGAGCAGAGAGAAGACGGCATCGTCCCTGAGCTGTGGGTCGGTAAGCAGCTGCTCCATCGAACAAGGAAGGAGGAACAGAGGGAGGGTGGGAGCTTCACCTGGGAAGCACAGCTTGGACCGTAGGGTGCGTCCATGGCTTCTGCTAGACCGTCCCCTGTGGTCAAGTTGTTCTCAAACACGATGAGGACTAGAACCTTAAAAATAAGTACTCTTGCCTAGCATAACAAACTCCCCCCACCCCGTATCTGGCCCTCGTTCCCTGCCAATTCAGACGGACCAAAGGACACTTCAACCAAGGATGCCCTGGAGAAGACCTACGCTCCCTCCCTGAAGACGTTCCAAGAGGAAATTATGGAGATGATGGGAATCGTAGAGACACGTCGGCACAGGAAGTCCTACTGGTATTAAGGCTTCTGCTCCCTCCGAGCCCATTCTCACTTCTGACGGCCTTATAGAAGATCCTCCCCTCACTCCTGGCACGCGTGCGAGGCTGCCCTGCTTTGGGGTGTTCTTCCTTCTCCAGGGAGGGGGCTACCGCAGTGCAGTTAGGGGGAATCAGAGGAGCTCTGCGTTCACATGGGTGTTAAAGGGCTGTCCTTTATCAAAGAATAAGAGGCAATCAATAATAAATATCCTTTATAGAAAAAGCAAGTGTACGGTCATGAGAAATGCGCAACAGATGGGAGCGACATAAATGTTTTGGTCCCCTCAAAAGTCCACTGCAAAGGACTTATCCCTGGCCCATTCATTCGTCCATCTCCAAAGGGTTGACCACGCGCTTGCACGGCTGGGGTGCAATGAGACACTCTGCAGGCGGCCAGTCCTCGTCTCTCTGGCTGTGAGACCCTTTTGCTTTTTCTGCACCAGACACTGAGAAAGCCCATCTAGGGCAGGAACCTCCCCCACTTAGTCTTCTGCAGTTAGGCCCCAGAGGTCGGAGGGCAGCTCCTTCTTGGCAGCCACCAGCACAAGATTCCTGGCGGAGAAAGTTGGGTTGAAGAGAGGGATCAGCTCACACGGGAAACCTGTGGGGAGGCAAAAGAGGGGGAGTGGGCTTGGGGCGGCCTTGTCAAAGCCAGTCAGAAGCGAGAAGCCACGATGTAGGCCCCCCCCAGGCCCTCAAGCAGGAGGTGGAATCAGAAAAGAAGGACCCAGCACCAAGCCCTGGCTGGCTGGGCCACGCAAGCATCCGCGCTGTACCCTGTGTGCCACAGCGCTGCCCATTTTGAGGCAGTGAAGGCACGGGAACAGGAGAGTCCAGGTGCTGAACATCTGCGCCTCTGAAACAGATCTCAGCTGCTAGCCAAGGGAATCTCAGCACGCAGAGGAGCGTGTCTCTCCTGCTAGAGCCTCCCATCTTAGAAAGCAGCAGCCTCAAAAGAAGCCAGCTCAGCTTCTGTGTGCTCTGACCCTTCTCTGTAAAAAAAGGAAGGCTGAATTAGGGTGGGGTGGGATGAGCCTCCTCTCCTCAGATGGCCCTGAAGACACCAGCCACGCACAATAGCGATGGTGCTATTTCAGAACAGCAGTGCAGAATTTTCCTGAGCTTTTGAGTTGGATACCAAGCCCCCTTCAGACACCTCTCCCCTTCTGGGCAAGGTCCCACACCCAGCTTACCTTGCTCCTGCAGGTAGATCATCCGATCAAGGAGAATAAGGGTCTCCACCAAAGGGGCCAGCAGGAGAGCAAGGCTGAAGAAGACCACCACCTTCTGCTGTTGGGCCAGAGATGCTGGCTCTAGAGGCCCACTCGGGCTCAAGCAGACACGTTCCAGTCCCCGGCGAGCATATCTGCCAGGGAAGGAAAGGCTGCACTCGCTCTCCTGAACAGAGGACATGGGGTGTGACAGGTATCTGCAGGAAGGGCTGTTAACCATAGCTGACATTTTGGGTTGCATAGCAAAGGCATCAAAGGGGCAGCGGAAGTCCCACCAGCTGGGGAAGGTGCCCCTGCAGCTCCTAGAAAGGATGGGGTCACTCACTGCTCAAAGGTCATCTCGTGGGCCTTGGGGATGGCCTGCACCCCGATGCGTTTCTTGGCTGGGTCGATGGCCCGGATCACCGTCTCCAGCCTCGCCCGGAAGCAGTGTGTCTTCAGAGAAGGACTGTTGCGTTCGAGCCGCAGAACGTAGTCCTCGATGGCGTGGCAGGCCCCTTCCCGGGCCTTGTAGGAGAGCTGGTGGCCCGGCAACCCAGACACCCAGGCGCTCAGGGGGTAGCCGGGCTGGGCCACCTCCCCAGTGCTCAGCTTCATGTAGCAGCAGGCCGCCGAAGTGATGCCGACAACGTGGGGACAGGCCACAAAGAGCCGGAGGAGGGTCGCGCTGAGGTCCCCGCAGGCATGCAGGCCGGTGAGCAAAAGCGGCTTCTGGGGGTGCTGCGGTTGCAGGCGGGCTGGCGGGCTCCATTCCAGGGAATCTGGGACACCTTCCCCAGGATCTGCACCTCCCTTTCTGGCCTCAGTTTCTCTGAGCTCGCACAGCACAGTGGGTTGGCGGCCTGGTGCTTCTCCCCGTGCGCTCCCACCTCCTGCAGCGTCCCCCCCTTCGGCCTTCCCAAAGCGCAGCAGCTCCAGAAACTCTGGCCATGGAGAGTCGGGACTGACCCAGCCCACCACGTGGCTCGGCCCCTGGACAGAGAGGCTGTCTGGAGCCTGAGGGAGCAAACAGAGGGGTATCAAGCGTCACGCAGCCAGAAACGCCAAAGCCAGAGCAAGCCCAGAATTTATCTTGAGCGGGCTCTTAGTCAGCCCTTGCCCCCCAACAAGTAGCGTTTAGGGAGCAAGCTGTTTCCCCCAAGCGTTGGCGTGTTTTGGCAGAATCGCACTCAGCGCAGAGGAAGCAAGAACCCAGCATCGTGAGACTCATTTACCCACAATTCTTCAGCACAAAGAATAAGTCTCCTCCCTCTTAATCGGCCAGCGCAGCTCCCTCCTCTCCGCCCCGGACCCCTCTGCTCCGCCAGGAAGACCCTCCCCGGGACGCGGCTCTCCGTCCTCACCTGCCGCCTGGCCTGCTCTTTCTGCAGCCCCCGAACCAACTCTCGGTCAAACCTGACGGCCTGGGCGACGAGCCGGGGGTCTCCCTCGACAGCCGTGACAGACAACCCCAGCCCGAAGGCCAGGAAGCGAGAGAGGTGGCCCTGCCGGAGGAGAGAGGCGGATGGCCGAGGCTCTTTGGGCCGCTGGAGCCCGCGGGGCCGAAGCCGAAGCCGGGGGGGGGGGGGGGCGGCCCCCCCGAAGCCTCACCTGGCCGGAGCCCACGTCCGCCCCCCGGCGACAGCCGGTGAGCTCGCTCAGCCTCTTCACCGCCTGCCGGAAAGAGGGCGATCAGGCCGCGGG